TAAAAACCGCACCATCGGTTTTCATTTCGGTTTCGGTTTTTCGGTTTCGGTTTATGCGGTTTTTTCGGTTTTTTTGGTTTGCGGTTCGGTCTTTGCTCACCCCTATACACAAGTGAATTTATTAAGAATGAATTTATGACATGTTTAACAAAATAACTGGTAGCCGGAAGTAAAAAACTGGTAGCTAGTAGTGAAAACTGAAAGATATAGCTTTTATTTATGTATAAGTGTTTGACAAAATAGCTGAAAGTTTTTAAAAATGTTAAATTACGTAAAATTTAAAAGTTAAAAGCTAAAAACCTTAAAAACCTACTTCTAGTTTTTAGATTCATAGTTTTTTTTTTTAAACAAAATCTTTAAGCTCGTAATTCTCAAAGAAACTTTTTCTTTAATTCATTTTTTTCCTTAAAAGCACGCAGCCAAATACACCATTAGTCAAGTTCATATACCAATGATCATAAATTGTTGAAATAACCACGTACAATAACAATTTAAAGTGTAAATATTTAGTTGAAGTTAATGTTGAGTTTGTTGCAAGTTATTTTATGTCGCTTTTAAAAATGTAATGTCAATAAAACTTTGGAATCCATTAGGCCTTTTCTTTTAGAGGTAGAGCGGAACCGGAGGGTTTGAGGGGTAGCCAATGCTACTCCATAAATTTTCCGGAACAAGGTAAATTTTTAAAAAGTTTTTCAAGGATCTACTTCCAAAATCAAGTGTGCTATACCTTTACACTTTTCTTGGTTTCACTAGTGTTTAGGAGGGAAATATATTGAAAGGAAGATAACTTGGGTTATGGCTTCAAAAGAAAAATGGGGGATTGGTATGGGAAGTTTATCTACCTTATCTACCTTTAATGATGCATTATTACAAAATGACTGATTTGTGAATAATAAAAATGCTTTATGGTTTAAGTTCATAATGGAGATTCATGGATAATTAAGTAATTCGATTTTATCGCAATAACTAGTTTATTTACATATATTCTTTAAAAATGTTTTCTCATACAAATTATTACACTTATAAAAGATTTATAGTTTATAACCATAATTATTAAATATTCAAAACTATTTATTACGATTTTAGACGGACGTCCAAACATCAACTTAATATTTTCGAAATAGGAGATGGTACAACGATTAACCCAGAATTAATCTTATAAATAAATATTGCACAAATATACAACAATTAATTAAATTACAGAATGGACGAATATTTCAAACTAAAGTTAAAACAAAATATTTATAGTTGAGGATGGGGTGCCTCAGCCTCCGGCCACGGCCAAAAAGCTGGTTGCTCCTCCATAACATTAAGCATGTTGCAGAACCCTTCATCTCCGGCAACCACCGTCTGATTCAGTGGCTGGCGGAGGAGGTACGGCCTCCCTAGACCTCCTATCATCGCTGCACCAGTGGGAAGATTGTTTGAGATCTGTGTGTAAAATAGGGTGGTGTTGTCTTCTGATTCACTTCCATTGCTCCACGACCCTTCTGTTTCTCTGTTTAAATTCAACCCATTTGGTTCTTGACCCTTTATAGCCATTAACTGAAACCACACATCAAAATTTAATGAAATTAATTAAACATCTTTAAGTCAACGTAGTAGAGGTGCAAATATATAGGTGTTAGAACAAAAGAGATTTCTTGAGCTTGCAATTCTTCAAAAAAATTTCACCTGTGCATGAAGCTTCTGATTTTTGTTCTTGAGAGAGTCATTATCAGCTCTAATGGAGTCGACTTGTTTCTTCAACACATTATAATCTCTTTCTAATTGTTTGGTCTTCCATCGAGCCCTTCTGTTTTGAAACCATATAGCCACTTGTCTTGGCTGCAACCCTAAGGCTCGAGCCAGTTGCCTTTTTCTGTCGGGTTCAAGCTTGTTTCCAAGCTCAAAGCTTTTTTCCAGAGCCTTGACCTGTTCGAGATTCAGCCTCCTTTTCTTTTCACCGAGCTGAGACCCCTCATCCTCGGACGTCTCACCCTCGCAGCCACCTGTCGTTTCTTCAAAAACTTCTCTCCCGGAATATGACATCGATCTTCTCATCAGTGGATCACCACCTGCAAATTTACTCAGTTATGGTTGATAATAATTGTTAAACGTACTTATGTGTATAAGAGAGATGGAGGGGGACCTTGGAAGTGATCTTCATAGCCGAAGAACATGGGTTCAGGTGGAAGGAAGGACATGGAAAAAGAAAATTTTGTTGTTTTTCTAAATTGTAGAAAAATTGGAAAGTAATTGTGGCAAAGTGCTGTGTACTTGTGTGTTTGAGTGTGAGTATTGATGTGAGAGGTTGTTCTTATGCTGGATGGAAGTGGGTGGAAAAAGAACACTAGACAAACAGCGATAACCTGTTGGAAGCCTACAAGAGAGGGAATGCTTTGCCCACACTACTTTTTTTTTTTTTTTTTTTTATTATTATTTATTATTATTATTATTATTATTTTTTTTAACTCTATTACATTCTTTTTATTTTATCTGTTTAAAAGATATATGGATAATTGATTTAAGTGTAAACACTACTAGAAAATCTGAAAATACCTACGGCAAAATCCGTAGGTATTCCGTAGGTATAGGGTGTTACCTACAGAATTGTGACAGAAAATGGGCCGTAGCATAAACGCCCGTGGGTAAATTTTACCGACGGATTAGCTACGGAATACTGACAACATTTTTCCATCAGTAATTTACCTACGGAATACCTACAGAACATTATAGTGACGAATTACCGACGGGACCCACTTTGATTGACATTGACTTTATTACCTACGGATTTCCGACGGCTCATATTACCGACGGATTTTCCGTAGGTATTCTGTCACTAAATCTCTTTTTCTTTAAAAAAAAAAAAAATAAGAAAAATTCCAAATTTTTCTTTCCAAGATATTGACAAAACTCATTAGATTAAACTTATAATAATATTGAAATTCAACCACAAAACTAATAACATTACAATAAAACTAATAAACATCATCTAATACCTTAAAAAGTATCAAATACAAATTCATTATTAGTAAACATTGTCTAATAATATACTAAATGTTTCTAACAATACACATTAAAAATGTCAACTCTAAATGTTTAAATAAGTGCTTAAAAACATATAATTGAGAATTATTTGGTGGATTACTTGGCAATTTACCAGGTAAGCTGAACCGATAAATCCCGACAATTGTTCTTCAATTTGAGTTTTGAATCAAAGGCCGCAAAGTGTTCCCGTTTCAACACACCATAATCAATTATAAAAAAGACAAATACAAATATAGCAATGTACTTTCGTTTATTTGGTTATTATAACCATAATTGAGAACTTTTTTCAAAGTACAACGCTATAAGACAAAATGAAAGTAAGATGTTATAATATGCATGTATATCTTGCATTTAACCCAAAAAAGTATGCAGCCATATGGTAAAAAGTAGATGTTACACGAAACAAATATTAAAACGTATGTTGCAGAAACCTAAATTTGAGAGAGAGATTCCATTATAAATGATATTTTATAGATTTAAACAAGAAAGTGAATTACTAACCTATACTGAACTTGTGGTATGGATGACCTTCACCAAGATATTTTTGCAGCTGCAAAGTATAATTAAGGCAAAGAAAAGAGTTATATATATTTTTAAACAATCAACTTAACTACAATCTTGATATGTGGAATCAACATTACCTGATTTATTCTCCATGCATCAGAGAGTAGAGTCTTCTGATTCTATGTATATAAGAGTGGAAAGAGGTTGGGACTAAAAGATTATCAATAAAAGTACACAATAATTGAACAAGCAACTTGTTAAATCAATGCTGACCAGAGCCAACGACTTTTATTTCCCTCGTAGTTGCATCATATGACATTAGTAGTTTGATAAAGAACTATGCAAATCTATACAAGAAAAGACAAGATAAGAAAACAGATTAGTTGAATTCTATAAGGACAAAATGGGAAATAATTGTAAAAAATGAGTGGAATATACCTATTTAGGGAGAATGGTTGAAGATGGGTTTGTTTTTTATCAAAACTTTTCTATTAGATCTTATGAAATAGGGGCTGATCGAACTGCAACGTTAATGAGTCATTTGCAGGATACAGGGGCTGATCGAACTGCATCGTTATCCCACTTGGTAAGCCATTATATTCATTTATGTGTTATTTTGACACTTTCACCCGTTGTGTTGATTTGGCAGGATACATAGGAAGAAAAGTAACGAACCAACAACAAATATGACCACGTCTGAGTCGACAAGTACTAACCTTTGCAGATGTTGAGGAGTATCGGAGGGACTCCGGAGAAGCAGACGAGGTCGGAGGAGAAGGAGCCTCGCTGTAGCAGTTCTGTCGAGGAGAAGGAGCCACGCCAAAATCGAAATGATCAATCCTAACCCAAAACGAAACCTAAACGAAATTAAACCAAAAAAAACTTACTTGGATATATCAAATCGATTCTCAACAATGACATGGGTGAACGAGGTTGTGACAACCCGAAATTTCTATTCTGTACAACCATTCACTTCAATAGGAGTCAAAACTGTTTCTGTTAATTTTCAAGCTTTTTGGAATAAGTTTGAGTATTTTAAG